ACAATTGCGAGAAAAAACTCAGAATTGAGAGTTTATACGACACAATTGCGAGAAAAAACTCAGAATTGAGAGTTTTATACGACACAATTGCGAGAAAAACTCAGAATTGAGAGTTTATACGACACAATTGCGAGAAAAACTCAGAATTGAGAGTTTATATGACACAATTGCGAGAAAAAGTAAATTGCAATATACCAACTCGCAAGTCGCAACTTTGAAAAAAAGCCAGAATTACGAGTTTATACCCTGCAATTCTTACTTTTTAACACCCAATTGCAAGTTTATGTCTCACGATTCTGAGAAAAACAGTCAGAATTGTGAAATAAAAAGTCGCAATTACCTTTTTGTTAATTTTTATTTGGACTTCCATAGTTTCAGAATAGATCTCAAGACAAAAGTCACTTAAATCTTCATTACTTTACACACTTGCCACGTTTGAACTATTTCATTTCTTTTTCTCTTTGCGTTTTTAGAGAAACAGTTGAAAACTCCTGCGCTCTCTTTTCTCTTAGGGCAGTCAAACTTTCATCCAGATTCTTTTAAGCCTCATTAATCACCCAGGAAGGACGTTTTAACATAAATAGTTTAGCATTTCACCAATATTTCAGGATTAGGTTTATCATTTAGCAGATCCTTCACTCGGCAGCGGGCCATATGCTTGCGCCGCTCCTGGATATGACATGGTTAATGACTGTCGTAAAAGGCTCTGGTTTCACTATGAAGTCATCCACACACAGCCTTTAATGTGTTGCAGCTTGAACATCAGAGATAATTCTATACATGAGGAGGGGCCATGAGTGACACGGGTGGAGTTTAGAAAATGCTGGATCTTCATTTCACACGTCGCAGCTCAAAAGCCTCAGCTGTTCTGATATTAAAATTCTTAGGCAAGACTGTTAAAAATTGTACTGCAACATGCCAAAACATATACTGTATCGGCATATGCACAGACAATAAATTACTGGTTCAAGGAACTTTGGAATGAGATCGTTGAAATACAATTTATTGTTGTGCACAAGTTGGCCAGATATGACCTCAAATGCATGTTTTAAATTTATGTAAAAGAAAAATTATGTAAAATTATGTAAAAACGTTTTTCTCACTTGCGTTGTTACAGTAATGACAAAAGATCTCATTCTCATCAAAAAAAAGTATGATATATTGTTTAAGCTGTAAAGGTTTTATACAGAATGAGTGTTTATTTAATATATGCTGACTTAAAAAAATTGATATTGCAAATTTTATTGTATTTGAAATCGTGAAAAAGGAAAACTCTAAAATTAAATTCAAACTCAAAAATACAACTCAAATTAATCAGTTAATTAATTAACTCACAAAATAAATAGAAGTTGGGGAATTACATATACTTAACGGTCATGAACATAAATGCAAAAAGTGTTAATGAAACATAAAAATAAAATAAACAATGGCCAAACAACCACATAAAAACCTTAACTTTTTGCTTGTGTATCTCCTTTGCATTTCCCCCCAAAATCCCCATTACGGTAATGATATTACTTTGATGAGAAAAAAGTATGATGTATTATTTAAATTGTAAAGTTTTAAACATAATAATTAAATATGCAGACCTAAATGTAATAAATACTGTGCAAATTTTTAAGTTTTACAACATTGAAAATTTCAACTAAAAAATTACAAATTTCTTATTAACTCAAATTACTCTAATTCAAAATAATTCAAACAAATAATTCGATTTTGGGGAATTAAATTTACTTAATTTTCATGAAAATAAATGCAAAATGTGTTTTCTTAATTTTCTCAATAAAAACCTAAAAAAATATTTAATAAACTATAGCCATTATACAATAAACACACAAGCAACAGCATAGCAGCACCCAGCCAATCACTTTAAAGTAACACTTTTTTTCCTTTTTTATAAATTAGAAAATGGCAAATCTAGTTAGGCTTACTTTTCTCTTTTGAAGTTTTATTAGTCTTCAAACTAGGCTTAGTCTTAATACTATTTAGAAATTAAAAAGAAAAATATTTGAATAAAGAAGATTAGAGAAAATGGACCAAAAGACAGTAAGATTGCGGTCTCTTGCATATCAAATAAGTGAGGTGTGCGGATGGTTCTTGTTTAAATAAATATTTTGCTCGTCTCTGAACATGATCCGGCAGCGGGAAGATGATGCTGGGCTAGATGATATCATGCCCTCCCAAGATGATGATAAAAGACATGCTGGCTGGCAGAAATTGGGCTTATATGCACTTTAATGCAGTCAATAAACACGACAATCTCCTCGGAGATGAGCGCTGATGTCATGGCGTGACTGCACTCATGAAATCGTGCGGTCGGATGCTCTTTTCTCTGCTCTTTGATTGCTCGCCTTCATCATCAGGCTTTGGTTTGGGGGGACAAGGCTTTATGATTACAGAAAACTTTTTGCTCACTTGTTGCTAGCATTTTTCATTTGCATTTTCCCATGCAATCGCATTACGTAATGACACAAGACCTCATTCTCATTACTGTAATGCAAAAAGATATATATTTTTTAACTTTTAAAGATGTTATATCATGAGTATGTATTTAACATGTGCCGACTTAAATTGTGTACATTTTACTGTATTACAACAGTGAGAATAATAAAATACAGCTCAAAACACTCAAACTTAAATTACTCAAAAAAATGCAGAAAGTATTATTAAAATAGCATAAATATGCTTAATTTTCTCAATGAAAACAAAGCATACGTAATAAAATAATATTAAAATAAATAAATACAAATAAAATAAAAGGATATAATTATAATATTATTAGAATTTTAATTAAATATAAAATTGAAAGATTATTATTATTATTATTTATTTATTATTACAGCTTTAGATTTTCAAAGTAATATTTATTTATTTTCTATTTACTTATCTACCAAAGGTTATACTCATGACATACTCAAGAGTAATAAAATGTAATCATAATACTTGAATGAATTGTATACAATAAATTAACAATATTAACTTTACAAATAAACAAAACAAATCAATAATAATAATAATAATAATCTTTTAATTTAATATTTAATTAAAATTCTAATATTTTCTAGGTGATGTAAAAAAAAAAACAAATCTATCAATGTTATATTTAAATAAAAACAAATAAAACAAATGAAATAAAATATTCTTTACAGTTAGTCAAGGTTTTGTTTTTTCCCCACTTTTTGGAAATTCAATTTAGATTTTTTTTTTAAAGTAATATTATTATTAATAACTTATTTATTTCATGATCACGCATTTGCAAACTATCAGAACAGAAACTAGTTTTAGTAGCATTCACACACTTTCAGAACGGAAACTAGTTTTGGAAGCACAGTAGAGCTGAAAAAGTGGGTTGATGTGCATTTGTTCGAATAAATCAACAGAATGTCTTTTATTTACAAAACGAGCAAAAACCACATGTGCCACACATAATAAATATATCTCTAGCCACATCCGTGCCACGCACGCAGCATATATCAAGGGCCTCATTAGAGAAAATTACAGCTCTGCATGGAGACAATGGGCCCATTTACTAGACAGAACGCAAGTATCACATTAGTTTGATCTCTTACTCGGATGCTCTGAATAAATGGAGACGCTCGAGACGTTACGACCGCAGAGAAAGAAAAA